GGGGGAGGCTCTTCAACTCGACGTACTCAGTGCCTGCGATCCCTCCACCAGAATCGACTTCTTCGCCGCCTGTGCCTCTTGCATGTACGCCACGGCGTCGACAATGTACGGCCGCAGCTTCTCCTTGTAGCCGGCGTAGTTGCGCAGCTCCGCCTCGACGTCGTACTGCAGCAGATCACCGTAGTGATCGCGGTAGCTGTCGGCGAGCTCGCGCAGCTTGCGCTCAAACGAGGCCGAGTAGATGTCAATGACGCGCAGGCCGTCGCGCGAGGCCTTGTTGGCGTAGGACGGGCCGATGCCGCGCTTGGTGGTGCCGATGGACTCGTTGCCGCGCTTGACTTCCGAGAGGCCGTCGACGGCGGCGTGCAGCATAAAGTTGAGGTGGCAGCGGGAGCTGACATGGATGCGGCGGTGGACGTCGGGGACGCCTTTGGCGTCGAGGTCGCCGAGCTCCTTGAAGAAGGCCTCGGCGTTGAAGACGACGCTGGAGCCGATGAGGTTGTCGGTCTTGGGGTTGATGAGGCCGGAGGCTGTCCGAGCGTTAGCGAGTGCGCGTGATTGAGGATCGAGAGAACATAGAGGAACAGAGTGAAGACAGCAAACGTACGCAACAGGTGGAAGCTAGAATGCAGGAAAGAATGCTGTCAGTTGTCTGCGACGATCGACTGCCACGCCGGCAGCAGGACGACAGCGCCGGCGCATCGGCACGGGATGCGAAACCAACACAACGGCTGCCGTCTCCTGCTGTCGCTTCTCTCAACTCTCATGGGCCGTGTGTGGAAGGTCGCTACCTGTAGCTCTGGTTGCCGGTCCTGTGAAAGAACGGGGCGAGTGTGCCCCACCTTGTCAGCCTTGTCCAACCTGAGAGGTCGCATCGCGAGATCGCATCGTTTATGAGTGGTCCTCCGCTCCGAAACTCACTTGATCGAGTGGCCGGCATTGTGGCCACCGGCCGCGCGCGCGCAAATGTCAAACGCGTTGGACGCCAAGAGGTGGTCGGTCAGTTTGCCTTTCTGTCGAGAAGGGGACGGAGCGTCAGTCGTTGAAGCATTTTCGACGGGAGTTCACAATCGTACAAGGTGAGTGAATACATACACCTTCGTCTCCTGGAGAGTTCAAAACACATTCGTCAGTCTCTGTTCGTCCATTGGAAGCACGCAAGGCCCAGCGCAACGGCCAATGGCTCGTGAGAGTGACTACGGTGACTCGATGAGCCCACCAGCGCAATCGGAGGAAGCCCACCAAAAACCAGAGCCACAGAACCACAGAACCACACGAGGGACAGGGACAAAACAACTTACCCCATTGGGAGCCCAAGATGATGGTCGCCATAATGCTTGTCGATCGGGGTGGTCGCTGTTTTCTGCTGTCCGAAAACAACAAAAAAAGGATAGGGGTCAAGAAAAAGATCGAAATCGCCAAACCGAGAAAAGAGAGAAAGGAAGAAAGCGCCCGCCAGGCGGCTGCAAACTTTAAAAATAAGATGCCAATTTTTTTTCTGTTCCTTGGCTGCGGTTGCGCTACTGGAAGATTGTTGTTAGCCTTGTTTGGGAGCTTCGGTTGGTACCTTTTGCGCGGTTTAAAGCGCTACTGGTGTGTAGTACAGCAGTACGAAATACCTGTTGCAGTGTCATGCTAGCGAGTGAATTTGCGACTTCGGCTTGGCTCACGGTTGACTCACGTATTGTTTAGTGGGGGAGGGGCAGTTTTGGAAGCGACGACGGAGAAGAGTGGGAATTGCAAATATTAGCAGGAAAAGACCTAAAAACACGGCAAACGTTGTCGCCATCCCGCACCAGTACAATGAAAACATCGAACATTGGCTACGTGCGGCAGGGCCACTGGTACTCGCCCGCAGTGTGTACGGGATGAACCGCGTTCACGGCATTTGGCTGCCGGGGGCTACATAACTCTTACCGACATCCAAAATAGGGTCACATAAAACGACGCAAATCTCGTCAAAAGTTCCAGTAAGATACAGATATTGACGCATTGCTGTTGACTCGCAACCTAGACATTTTAAAGTGCCGCGTAAACAGCGAGGGATTATCGGGGCTGTGACAAGGCTGTAGACAATTACCGGAACAAAACGGAGGCATCGGAGAGTTGGGTTGCCGACTTGCCCGTGATGGCCGGGTCTTTTGCGTCGTGAGAATTTACGGTTTACAAGTTTTGGTGCCTGTCATTTAACCACATTTTATTCGACTTGTCTTTACGAGTGATGAGTAGGTTTCGTGGCTTATGGAGTCGATTTATTCACTTAGAAATATCGTAGTCACCGTGTAGTTATATATCTTAATCAGAATAATCCAACTTGTTTGTACAACATAAAAGTCATTTATACTCGTAACAGCGCGTGATGACCTATCGAAACGCCTATTTCTGTGTATCTTACACAACGGGTCGAGCATCGTCAACTACCCAGTATGATAACCTCTTTGGAAACATTTCCGACACTGGATCATCGTAGAACAGGTCTTACATCCTTTGAAACCATGTCCGTGAATACCTCGGTTTAGGCATCTTCGATCGAGGAGGCCGCTTGTTGCTTTCAATTTGCTAGAGCCTTGTAGGACTAGTCTGCTGGGCATGTTCAGAAGTAGGAAAAACCCATCAATACCAAACGGACGTCTGTCACCTGTGTGACTGAAACGTATGACCAGTTCAGCTGACGTTACAACTACAAGAGCGTCATTTGTCGACGGGGAAACTCTGCACAGAAACCCAGTTGCTATTTCACGCGTCCAATAGCTTGTGATCAGTTCAGTAGTAAGGCGAGGTGTTCTGGCGGTCTTCATCGATGGTAAGAAACCAATCGACGGCTCTCTCTGCGGCTAGTCGACCAAACATGACGTCTAAAATCAACCATTTATATTGTCAAGTCGATAATCAGTCGGCGGGCCTTTCCGTTGGCGAGGTTAGTTATTTGCATCAAGGCATGTGTAACCTCATGGTCAATGTTTTGATAGAAAACGGCTTGGGCATCAAGCCCCGGCTCACGCACCTCATATAGTAAAGGCCAGCAGACTTAAAGGTACTCAGCACCAAAGGACGACCGTGGCCTGGACATAAGACAGTTCCATTGTCCGACAAGCCGCAAATGTAAGCATGTCATCATCGTCACAAATAAGAGCTGCCGCATACGTTCATGCGGGCCTGTTGTTGAGCTGACGCTGTGGGTTCTGTCGACATCTGGTGTTCTGCCACTCGCCGCGTTCCCATGCGGTCCGCAGTTACACATTCTCTGGTTATTTACTTTGTAAAGTGCTCGTTCGATGAGCTTGACGAGCGGACAACATGTTCCTGTTTCATAAATCGGCCGGCTATGTCGTGGTCTGAAATATTCAGCTGTTGTAGTCACGGGTGCACCTGGGATAATGGTACAGGAGAAAATCTCAGATTCATCTCTCGGCCCACAAGTAATGTGACGTCGGTGAAGTACAGGAGACTTATGCCGTTCGTTCGTATATCCACAATAATCGTCTCGTGGCATTTGCCAGGACAACTAGTTGCTATGAGAAATATCCTGCAAGCAACATCATAACTCTTGGTGCGTGTTTGCTTGATTGGCAGTTTTCTTACTGCGAGGTAGGTGCAAGTTCGGCCCTGTAACGAGAGATGGTAGGTCGATACGTCTTTCCACCAATTTCTCTTTGGCACTGATATTTGTGACTGTTCAGTTATCAGCCGGAGCCAACACATGATGGTAGGTACTGTCTCTCATCCTCATCACGTTTGCTTCCTCTTCGCCTTCTCATCCATCCTCCGTGTGTGCTCGTGATCAGAGTTGTGTCAACACTGGCACGTGAGTCTAGCCATTCCTTGGACGCCACTGAGCCTACCGATATATTTAAACGGCGGTAATCATATTAGTTGTTTAAATTGCTGTGATATTCTTGTTTGGATTTCGATCTTGTCTGGATTTCGGTCTCTAGGTCGTTCTGGTGACTTTCTCATCGTTTGAGAGCAAGCAAAGCAGTGCAACGATGTCAACGTATGACGCATTGCTCTTGAGGATATTTGTAATACGAAGCTCCGTATAGTTGCATACCGGGCTCATAACCTGTAACGCAAATAAATCAACACCCAACCAATGAGGCCAGACTAGGCTTGTCCAACAATATATGGGGCATCATAAATGGCTATCCGTGGACAGTGGAAAATGCAAACATAATTCGACATGTCCTGGCAGTCACCATTAGGCTTTTGCTATGCGCTCTCACTGCTCGGGTGGCTGAGCTCTCGATGGCTTGGTAGGACGACGGTAGTACATTCGTGTGGGAGTATGTTTGTAATAATCGTCGGCATTCTTTTGGACGATTTTGTACCTGTGCAATTGCAAGGGTTGAGGTGCTACTGTTGGAGACATTTGCCTTTTTGGTTAGAGAGTGAACGGCATTCGAGCGTTTCGAGAACCTGCGCTCACTCTCACAGATCGAGACGTAGAGTGTGCCACGGAAGTGTGCAATCCAATTTTCTTTGCCACAAAAAACAGGAAACGGCATGTTTTTTCTAGCCGTGTCTAAGAACAGCCTGTCGCGTTGTAATTCTGTTCTTTGTAGGTCCCCATTTTGGCCTCTTGTTTTGCCTTTTTATACCGTCTTGTCGTTGACAACGCGACAAGTAGTATCACTGCGTTATGATGCCCGATGGAAATTGAGTTCCAACGTTCCTCCTTATCCTGGGTTTTCTTGTAGTAAATTTTGTTTCCCGTAGAAATAAAGGTGAAGGGAGTTCCCAGGCGCTTGTGAAACCATCGGCGGTATCCATTCGATGTATTCTGGTTCTTGTTTTGCCGTCGGCGTTCGGATCAATATGGTCGTATGAAATCTCAACAACATCTTATCTGCTATGTCCGCCTGTCGAAAGGCATATCATGAAGAACCGCACTTGATTTCAACACTAGGACTGTTCCTTGTGTCTTGTGACTGGATGGCATCTCTTTTGACGGTGAACACAAAGGTTGCTACGCCCAACCAAGGTAGCCCGCCGAGCCCACGTCTTGCAGAAATGAACAAACTGTTTGAGTCTTGGAGTACGATGCGTGTTGATTTCTGACGCCTTTGACGTTATTGTACATGTCATTGATGGCGTTATGGCGAGACGTTATAGTGTAAGGTCTACTTTCGCACGTTTGAGTCGTGTATGGGAGGCTGATATAAAGGTTTAATACGTTCGTTAGTTTTCCCGGCCTTGTATGACTCTTGCATGAGTGTTAAATCGGTATGCACACTGTTGTTTACTGAGAAGCGGCATACCAGTTTTTCAGTGTTTGACAATCCCACCTGTTGTCATTCTGCAAGGATAGCCACTTCGGAGAATGAGTAGGGGCAGGATATTATACCACTGCAATAAATCTTGGCTTGGCGAGAAGTAGACATTGTTTCTTGTTTCAGGTGATGAGTGTTATGCGTTGCCGATGCGCAGACTCGTCACCATCTTGACGACTGCCAATATGGAAATCCCTTTTCTTGTGCCTCAATATTTTAATCCCCAAACCATGATACAATGCGGCGGAGTTCCTTTTGGCGCACGAGGAAGCTAAAACTTGACGGCGGATAACCCCATATCTGAATGTTGTTGTCTTCCATTCATTCAAGAGGAGTGTTCCATCCGCGTCTCGGAGTGTAGATGTTGTCGACTCCGAAATGTCGCGTAAGCATGCGGTTTAGGGCGCCGAACATGGCCATGCATTCCTCCATAGTTTTTGGGCTGACATGATGCAAAGATCAAAGAAAGCATCATTTGCGGACAGCTCATAAAATGGTATCAAAACCAGCGGATGAGACACAGATTCGGAGGCAGCACAACGCCTACCGGAATCATGCGATCATGATAGTCTGCCTGTGGTGTAGAGTGGCGGCAGATATTTCCGCGTTTGGTAGTCTGCAAACCAATTCTCTGCACTCGGTGAGCGTCGTATTTCTCTGCAGGAGGTGGTCGGGTCGGGTGCAACACATGCAACGGTTATCAAGCCTACCGAAGTGCCGATGTAGACATTGCACGTATGTACGTTCCGTGATTCCGAAGCATGGTGCATCATACTAGAAATAGCTGTCCTGTTCCGCAGAGTTTCGTGTCTGACCACATCTTTGAATAGCATTGTTGACATGCGCGACTGCAGATACCTTTGAAAGTGCTACCCAGTGAGTCTCATCTGGTTCGCGAAAAAAAGAGACGATAAATGGCAAGCGAAGCTTTATTGACGAAGCTGTTCGTAAGTCCGTTTCGAGACATTTGCGTCTGGATTCTTCGGATGGTAACGCCACATATCAATTGGCCGGCTGATTCTTGTCGGTGAACGTTAAAGTTACAATTTTTGCAAATTTATC